CACACACACACACACATGTCCACACAAAGACACACACTTACACACTTACACACTTACGCACTTACACACTTACACATACACACACACACACACACACACACACACACACACACACACACACATGTGAATTTGCAAGTTCTAAGGACACCCAAAGCTGTGGAAACCACCAAACTTTGATGCCCATTTTCTCGCTAATTTACTTTCGACAACATGCGACCCCCACCACCTTCAATCACAAAAAAAGTCTTGACTTCCAGTTAAGATAGACGGGCATTTCTTTTTATCAAAAGCAGGACAAATGAACAAGTTTTAAGATGACGCCAATAACTTACTGCATTTGCTTCCAAATTGATTCCTCCATGTCGTGACACATCTTCCTTTTCTTTCTTTCTTTTTTTTCTTTCTTTTTTTCTTTCTTTCTTTTTTTCTTTCTTTCTTTCTTTCTTTCTTTCTTTCTTTCTTTCTTTCTTTCTTCCTTCCTTCCTTCCTTTCTTTCTTTCTTTCTTTCTTCCTTCCTTCCTTTTTTCTTTCTTTCTTTTTTTCTTTCTATGTTTCTTTCTTTCTGTCTTTTTTTGTTTTGAGGATTTGACCTTTTCATTTAACCAAAGTGTGCCAAAATGGTAGCTTAGCGTTTGCCCCTCCATGAAGGAAAAAATCTGGCCCTCTTTTAAACCATTGGGATTGAGCAAAGTTTTCCGTATTGTGCATTTTTTTTCATTATGTTATGATTTATAAGTCATACACTTGAGACAAAACTGTACTCAATGAGAAAGGTGCACCGTTGCAAAAGCGGATCGAACTCAGTTGGGTGAAAAGGGTAGTGTGAGCCTATGTGGCCTAAATAAGGTTCTACTATAGGATGGGTCGTGGTTGGGGGGGGGGGTTATTTTGGCCATATGTAGCCTAAAGAAGGTTAGGTGGTGGGGTAAACCTTATTCTGGCCATATGTGGCCTAAATAAGCTCTCACTTCCTTTTTTCTTCTTGGTGTCAAATTATGTTATTCACAGTCGTGACTTCAACCATTTTTTTCGTCTTAAATTTTGTTAGATCTACTCGCAAACGTAATTACAGCTCGTGATACTACAATGTGTGAAAAGAACACCCAAAAGAAGATAGCGAGCCATTTTAGTTACTATTAAGCAAAAGAAATTACTTTCTCCCTTCAATTAATTAATGATACTTATTTAGTGCCAATGTGTAACCCCCCCCCCAAACCCCCCCCACAAAAACCCCCAAACAAAACCCCCCATAGTAAACAAAATTGGAAGCAATTCTGGAAAATACTTTGAAAGAAATTTAATTTTGTTTCTCTCCCCTTTTTTTTGAACACCACTGCTCATGCACTTCCGTTTAATTAGAGTTGGGTATTAATGACATGGGTGATTAAGCTAGTTATCCTATCACCATCCTTGACATAATGATATGGTTACTAGAAGTTGACGAATATCCTTGACCTATTGAGTTACTGGTAGTTGACGAATATCCTTGACACATAGAGTTTCTAGCAGTTGACGAATATCCTTGACACGGAGAGTTATTGCATGGTAGATGACGAATATCCCAAAGTGTCCTTGAGATATAGATTACTGATTGCTGATGAATATCCTTGACATGTAGAGTTATTGCTAGTTGATGAAAATCCATGGCGTGTTAAGTTAGTGGTAGCAGATGATTGTTCCCAAAATATCTTTGACAAGTCGAGATATTGGTAGCTGACAAAATTCCTTGACGTGAAGAGATATTGATAGTGCACGAGTAACTTTTACACAATTTGATAAATTCACCGGTATTTGACGAATATCCATGTATTTAAGCTATCCGTAACACACGAATGAACAGGGTCTGTATTATAATTCTCTGCCACTGACGAATAGCCAAATCATGAGGAGCTATTAGCCACACAAGAAGGGTCAGAGTTCAGACTATTCTGTAGGGTGTGTGGTGTGGGCGCCATTCGTTCTGGTGACGTCACTAGCAGTAGATCTTTGTGTTCAGAGTGGACATCTATATATGTGAGGCAGCGTGGTGGAATCAGGCTCTCGTCAATTTTTGGGCATTAATATGGAGTTATTTGTATCATTTTATAGCTCATTCATTTGCCTTGCTTTTACCGAAAAAAAATACCCATCTATCTTGAATAGAAGTCGAGATATTTGCAGTTGAAGGAAGTGGGGTCGCTTTGTTTCAGAGGAAAAATTAGTGAGAAAATGGTAGCCAAAGATTAGTTATTTTCTTAGCTTAAGAGTCCGTGGTAACTGAAAATTAACATTTTTTGTGCTTTAAAAAAAACGTTTTTCTGAAATATCCACACAGAAATGAGTTCTTTAAAGGGCATGAAAGGTGTTGAGCCAAAAAACAAAAATGTGTTAACAATTCACAAACCTGCGGAAAAATGAAAGTTTCTTCACTTTGATTATTTTGACGAGAGCCTGATTCCACCACGCTGCCTCATATAATTAGCTGGGCCCCCTTTCGATGAAAGGAATGATCTGTACATTGACATCAACCGAAATTCATTGGCCTACTATATCTATTATACTCTACTGGAATGGAGCAATAAATCATGAGTGATGCAAAAAAATTAGAAGCTCTAGATCTTCACTCTTAAAACAAAATGCGTCTCGCGAAATATCACTTCAGGCACTTCCGCTGTGAGGGACAGCTGCGCAGATTTGTTTCGTTTCTCAGTGAAATAATCACAAAGGCCAAAGAAGGACGGTAACTTTTTGCCAAATATATTTTTCTAAATTAAGGAAATGAATAAATCAAATATCGGGCTCCATCATGGGGACCTACCAATCATTTTACAGATGCATGCCAACTTTCAACCCTGTAGCTGTCGTAGTTGTTATGGGAACGGTGACAAAATTTGTTTCCAAGTTGTCAAATATATAAAAGATATCTATACATATTATATACATTATGAAAGTTCGTCACTTTGGTGGCCCAAAACTTCCGAACCACTTAACTTTCGAATTCGAAAAAATTAACGGTGGCTCAGAAGTTCTATTAAGGAGCCTGAAATCACTGTGGTTTAATTTTCAAGGCTTTTTCTTAGTTTCGTTTAGATTTTATCGTGGGAAAGTTTGTCTTCTAAGACGCCATTGTAAACAAGTGAGACTTCCGTTCACATGCAGTGCGCACTGAACCCAAAATGACTTGACGATTATGTCCGTTCATCGAAAGGGGAACCCAGCTAGTTCCTGTGTATCATGAATACGTTAGCCTGTTCTTGCACAGCTCTCTCGTTTGTGGTGACATCGTTGTTATTCTGTCCAGCAAAATGATTGACCGATTCTGCATCCCTTGTTGAGGTTTCGTTGGGATTTCTGACTGTTAAGGACATGTCTAAGGGTAGATGCTTGAGACTTATGATCTCCTGTCGATGTTGATTCTGGAAAGAAAAACAAAAAAACAACAACCAAAAAGCAAAATGAAAAAATGAAAAAAAAGAGGAAAATGATATATCGGAATTACCGTTTTTACACCACAAGGTGGAAATACAATTAATTTTATTTCATAGCCTATATCAACGAAATTTGTTAATTCTGTCCTTAGTGGGTGGTTGGCGGGTGCTCTGGTGTGGTTTGCTTCTTCTTTCCTATCTAACATAGATCTATCGTCCTTATCTCCCCTCCTTCTTTTTATGTTTGTTACTCTCTTGTAACACCTCTGATCTTCTGGCGCTCATATGACCTTATGCAGCTGCGAGCGCCGTAAAACCTCTACTAAAACAAAAATTTTGTCCTTTATTCGTTTTACAACCTATGTTTTCTACACACCTCCCTATAAACCTACTTATCTACATTTCTACCCACCTGCTTACCTACCTACCCGCCTACCCGCCTACCCACTACTCCACCCATCCAAGTTAATGTTAATTTCGCCTAGTCACAGCTGCGTTTCGTGTCAATTTGTTAAAAAAGTTGGCGTTCATTTGACTTGTTAACAAACTTAACGTTCATTTCACATGGTCAGCTCAACGTTATGTATTAACATGTTATAAAAAATAAAGTTTATTAAACAAATGCAAGTCACGTGTTAAAATGATAACAAAGTGAACGATAATTTCGCCTAGTCAAAGCCAATTTACGTATCTACAAATTAAGATGTTAGCGTTAATTTAACATGTTAACGTAACGATGGTCAACCAGGACTGTATGTAACATGTTAACATAATTAACGTCTATTCAACAAAGGCAAGTTAGGTGATAGCAAGATAACAAAGTTAATGTAAATTTGACATGGTAAGACCAATGTTATGTACTAACATGGTAACAAAGTTAACGTTTATGTGCCGTAGTCCTAGCCGAATCGCGTGTTAACAAGATAACAAAGTTAACGCTTTTGTGACACAGTCAGAATCGAGTCACGTGTTCATATGTTAACAAAGTTAACTTTAATTTGACATAGTCAGACCCAAGTTATGTGCTTACATGTAAACATAGTTAACGGTTATGTGCTACAGTCACAGCTGAGTCACGTGTTCACAAGTTAACGTTTATGCGGCACAGTAAGAACCGAGTCACGTGTTAACAAGTTAACACAAAGTTAACGTTCATGTGCCACATTCCGTCCGAAGCAAGTAGTGGTTAGCCTACCGGACTCGTAATCGTGAGTGTGCGGGTTCGAGGGTTCGAGCCCGCGGGCCCGACGTTATGTCCGTGGGAAAGGCACTTTACACCAATTTTCCTCACTTCACCCAGGTGGAAATGGGTACCCGGCCATAGACAGCGAAAGATCTTGTCAGTTTGTTAGTGTTTTAGCGCCTATAAATGGCTGCTTGCACTGTATGCTTTCGAGGAAGTTGAGTTTGTTTCAGAATGCTCTCAGGTCTGCTGGGGTAATAGTATAGATTGTGAAGCGCACAGAGCTTGCTGATGAGCGGGGATTTGCGCTATTCAAATACTATCTATTATTATTATTATTATTATTATTACTATTATTATTATTATTATTATTATTATTATTATTATTATTATTATTATTATTACTATTATTACTATTATTACTATTACTATTATTGTTATTGTTATTATTATTATTATTATTATTATTATTATTATTATTATTATTATTATGATGATGATGATGATGATGATTATTATTATTATTATTATTATTATTATTATTATTATTATTATTATTATTATTATTATAGTCACGTACAGTTGTCCTGGCCCTGTAGGCGTCGATGAGGTGAGTGACGTAGTACATGTCAAACACCACGCCTTGACCACTGGTCAGCTCGCCGTCTCTGGGGCAGCCTCGCACCTGTGTGTGTGTGTGGGGGGGGGGGGAGAGAAAGTTGTCGTTTGATGAACGGTGCTGGTGGGGGCTGGTGGTCGAGCGGTTAGGCCGTTGGGCTCGTAAACGAAAGATCATGGGTTCGAACACTGTCAGTGGGTGGTTGGCGGGTGCTCTGGTGTGGTTTGCTCCTTCTTTTCTATCAAACATCTATCGTCCTTATCTCCCCCTCCTTCTTTTTTATAATTTGTTACTCTCTTGTAACACCTCTAATCTTCTGGCGCTCATATGACCTTATGCAGTTGCGAGCGCCGTAAAACCTCTACTAAAACTAAAAAAGAACACTGTGAGGGTCCCGACTTTGCGCCATTGGGAAAGGTATTTTATACTTTTCTGCATTTTGCCCAGTTGGGAATGGTTACCGGTTATAGACAGTGAAAGATCTTGTCTGTCTGTCTGTCTGTCTGTCTGTCTGTCTGTCTGTCTGTCTGTCTGTCTGTCTTGTCCATTTGTTAGTGTGTGAGCTTTTAACTCATTGAAGATGTGAATTTTGCGTCTTTGAAGACGCACTGTTTTGAGGTACCTTAAAAAAGGGCATAACGTTTAAACGTGTATGCAGACATTTCAGTTCTGTTTTCTTTGTTTTGTTTTGTTTTAGTAGAGGTTTTACGGCGCTTGCAACTGCATAAGATCATATGAGCGCCAATGGGTGGACGTCAACAGAGAAGTCCTTTACAGGGAATCAGACTTACTCTGCTCACCTCTCTAGCTTCAACAGCACAAAGTCTGCTTAGACTATCAAGCACCCCTGAAATAGCGGGTCACAAAAGTGTGATAAACATACAAAAGAAGTAGATGAAAATGATAATAGTAAGGTTTAGGAAAGAAAAAGCAGCAGTTCCCTGTTGTAGTTCAGGCACAGTTATGAGCATGACATAGTTAGATCAGCCGATTTACAATTCTACTGTGCATTAGAATGAGAAAATGTTCCCCCTTTGGGAATGGCCTAAAGACACTTCATCAATCAGTGGCACCGCCCCGGGGGTATCTGTTTTCTTTATCTGAAACTTAAAAACGCAGGCAACAATAAATGTATTCTATCAAAAATGTAAAATCGTGTATCTGACATGTCTGGCTCGAAAAGTGAAGCATTATTGGTATTGGCCTCCTGCAAATTGGACGTATGTGTCTGCCTCGTTGACAAAAAGTTTCAATGGCTACATGCACTGTAAACTGTAAAGGGGGTATAACACGTTCAGTTAAAACTGACAGTTGTTCGTCCTCTTTGTCATAAGAAAATACTAACAACATGATTCCATTTGGCTTTAAAACAAATACTTATTGACACTTTGGTTACAAATCTGATATCAGTTTTACAGCACTCTTTGTGGTAAAAAAAATACTACACGATTCCATTAAAATTTGGTTTTAAAACAAATAATTAAATTCTATTGTGGTCTTCAAAATCCAGCTAGCAAAAGAATCACACTAGATGTGAATTTTGACACTTTGGTTCCAAATCTCATATCATTTTTACTATAGGGCTTAGTTTTCAATAACTTTACAAACGAAATTTGTATCGTCGGTGCGTGGGCTGCAGCCAAAGTCGGGACCAGCGTCTCATTGGCTGGTGAGTTTGTGGTCCACATAATATATTGTCGAGCATGCTCCCCTCCCGTGCCCCCTCTCTGTCTGTCTGTCTGTCTGTCTGTCTGTCTGTCTGTCTGTCTGTCTGTCTGTCTGTCTGTCTGTCTGTCT